GAAGAATATTTTTCAATTAAAAAAATGTTACCTTCACACCTGCTGACGTCTAGTCAGCTATCGTGTAGGTCAAGGCGAAGCGAGGCGAACGCATCAGGCAGCATGGCTGCATGTCTCACATGCCTTGGAGTGGTCACACCAAAGCACCGTACTGTCCCTATTATTCGCAATCAACTGCCTGCAACCCATTTCCAGCTGGTTGCAACGAAGTACGATGGGCTTGTTTCCTTGCTCCAGGGAATTAGCAGTTAATAAAAGAGAATTAACACCAACGCTGCATTTGGATCCGCACTCTACCTCGCAAAGCAACCTACTAACCCACTACCCGCCAAATTGCTAGAAGTCACAGACTAACTAACTTCGGCACACTTTTGCCAAAAGTCGCATTTTCCCGATGATGAGTCTTTTCAGCTTTTCCGACTACATTTTCCACCCATATTGCAACCCGTCTAAAGTCAACGTCGCTTTTTTCAACAGGACAGAAAGAGCTGAAGCGCTCTGATCACTTAATAACTGACTTATTCAGCACAACGCATAAGCGTAAATTATAAAAATACAAGAGGGTGAAAATGACAAACGTCATGATTCGATCAGAGAGATGAAGACAAACGCAACCATCCACGCAACTCTACTCTCCTGGTTACCGGTCCTTTCTAGCATACCCCTACCTGATGCCAAAGCTGCCTAACAGAGCATCACAAAATCCCGGACGAGTCAAACGTACTTGTTCAACAGAACTCAAGAACAATTCAACGGCAAGGCTCAAATCGAGGTAAACGTTTCAAAAAACTGCCCTTGATGAATGGAGAAAGAACTGGCAAAACTCTAAGGTGCCAAACAGACACCTAATTGATGATCCGACAAGCAAACTACCCGTATCCCACACAGACCACTTTGAACAGAATCCCCACTACCCACCCACTCCGGGGCTGAGCATCACCTATGCAAGTGGGTCTACATAGAAACTCCGAGAACAACTGTAGCAACCTAGACCACACCATCAATCAATGCGAGTCAAGAAAGTTCGAAAAAAGAACTGTCGAATTACACATCCTGGAAACCGGTTCCATTGCCTGCCTGCCATTTGACTTCAAACCATAACCGTTGCCGCCACACACAGAAAGAAGACAAGTTCAGAACGATGGATTTCAAGGTCGTGATTACCCTAGCGCTTTAATTTTATTTTTTCATTCGTAGACATCATTCCAAGTTTACTGCATGATCTTCCCATCAACCTGGTCAAAGAAAGTTCCTTTTTTCATCATAAATTCCATAATGCCTTGATGAGGAAGCAACGATCTCCCTCAATCTTTGCCAGATTTTTTTAGACAGTGTCATTTTCTTAAGTATAACTGTCCAAACGGCATATATCGCACTGTCGAACCTGGTTACTATTACTCGGTTAACTAACAAATATTGTTTTTAAATGTTCCTCGGGACCGGCCAACCGATGGATTAAACGGACATTCGTATTAAATGTTTAGTCGGTGCCTGTATACTTGCAACTGGGATCTGCAGGTTCGGTATGATGACAAATATGCTTCAACCGCATTGTGAAGAGGTTGGGCTTTGCGAAAATTTTGTTTCGTTTTTACATACTATTGTTGTTGAGGCTGGGTTTCAGAGAATAAGCGATGTATAACTCATTTTTGTGTATGTTAATATTTTCGGTGCAATCATTATTCAAATTAAGTGTAGTAAAACGAAAAATTTTAGTTAACAAGTGTTATTAATCATGTAAACAGGACGATCCATCGATCCGTTTTCAGAGTGAGCATTTCATTTCGGGTTGTAAGCGTGGTAGCTTCGGGATAGTTATTTCTGGATGGTCATGACTTTTTCACAATTGGACCAGGATTACCGGCTTGATTCAAGGTGTGATAGTTTACCCTGTCAATTTCCTCACTAAAATATAAAATATCTAGAACTAAAGGCAAAAGATAACTAGGTAAAGACGACCAAGTCATTGAGCTGTTTTGTAAATTCTTCGTAAAGACTTACATATGGATCACTATCGTTTGTAACCACTAGTTCCTTCCCGTGTTCACGCTTTCTCTCACATTGTGAAATAGCTTAAAGCAGGTCGTTGTTCGTGATACAGGTCCGAACTCCCTTGCTAAGGCGTTGGATTGGCCTTTTGCGGTTCAGCAATGGGTGTCAAGGGCTTATGGAAACTACTCGAACCAACGGCTTGCGTTACCAACCTCGACGCATTATCTGGTCAGATACTGGCAGTTGGTAACTAGGTAACGCCTCAGTAGTCAGTATGCTTCAAGTTCGTTTTAGACCTTTCGATGTGGCTGCATCAGGCAATACATGGTAAAGCAGGTTTGCCCAACGATCAGAACACTTATTTGGACGTGTTGTTGCGTCGTTTGTTGAAGATGATGTTTTACGGAATCCGACCCGTTATTGTTTTCGACGGGGCTAACGTTCCAGCGTTTAAAGAAGCTACAATGGTATGGTTATTAAAGAAAGTTTCAAATGAAGTTCATTTCCAATGGCGGATTTGTAATCGTAGCGTCTGTTTTTGTGAATTCTTGTCATCGTTGGTTTGTCGTTGTTGTTGGCCTAAGGAATGGTCAGTTTAGGCAAAAAGAAAGTTGAAGCGCAGCATTGCGGCAGAAAAACTGCGCAGAATTCAACCGAAATTGCTAAGGAAACTAGCTGAGAAGACTGCTTCGGCGACTTGCACTCTAGGAGCCAGTGACGGCGGTAAGAATAACCACAGAGTTTGTCACTGTCTTGGATTCTATTGGGCCGTAAATACCCTGTATATGCTCAGTACATTGCCCAAACAGTTAAATTAACATTTTGTCTACCAATAGCGGTTCCTGCGACTTTGTTCCGTTGCTAAAATACCTACGGATAGTGGTACTTGCGTCCGAAGAGGTGTTTATTCCACTTTTCATAGTGATGCGATTTTGCATCCTTGTATTGCAGGTTCTGAAGCACTATGGAGCCGTTGTCTGCTTAAACAGTCTCCAACGATGCTAGAAGCAAGGTACGGTACGACTGCATGGTGTAATTCCGGAGAAACTTCAGAGGATTGTCATTCTTACTGGTGGTATCGAGAACTCCCAGTTTGCTAATAAACTCGTAATAACGGGGTTGAGTTTTATGGATTTGAATTTGCTAAGGAGTTATAACTTTAAAATTTGTTGGAATGATGTAAGGTGTTTTGAATATTCCGGCATCATGAAATATTTTAGATTTGCATTCTGCTGATGACACCGCCAGCGTTCAGCGTAAAATATGTGCGGAAACATCCACGACTTCAAAGTCGTGCTTGAACCCAAGTGATTCTTCGTTGCAAACAAGTTCAGTAAGTTTGCAGTCGATTCTTTGTAAATCAAGCGTGGTTGACGTGTGATGTTCTGCAAATCTTTGTGTTTTTTGACTTTTTGAACTTTGTTTTGTCTTAGACATTGTTAACTGGCATACAAAATGTTTGTAAGTTTCTGAGAACGAAGTAGTGCCAGATTAGGCATTCAGAGAGCACACACCTTATGTGATGTAAGACGGGTTCGTTCAGCGCGGTTAAATAGAAAAATTCACTGCTCTCTCACTATTCACTGGGGCACGTTTCACAGCAGCTGTTCGTTGGCTCAGGCAGATATCTTTCAGGAGTCTTTCACGGCGTGAAACACGAAACACCGCCTTTCAGTGTTTATTTGGAATAGGGAGAAGAAGATGGGGAACGCAGTCAGTGACAACAGTGTGCAATTAAATGTCTTCTAAGCAATACGACAACGGAAAACCTGTGGTGAAAATCTACAGGCAGACGCCGGCCAGATCTAGGCGCTGGTCATTGTTGGTCATGGCAGGCAGCACCTTCAGAAGATTTTTAACAATCTCGGTCAGCCTTTAATCACCGCAATAGCTTGGATTCAGACGTGTAACAATCTCTGTTGCTTAGTGTATATGATTTATTTGGCCATAAGTTTGTTCCTTAGCCATCTTTTATGTAGCTTTGCTAGCAGTCATCCTTTTGTATCTTTCCTCTGGTAATATTATAATTGTTTTACCTGTCACAGTTGGGATTTCTCGATCTACGAATACAGCGGTTCACATACACGAGCTCTCGCATTAGCCTGTTCTGAAGCTTATCGTTACAAGCCTCGTTACGCAAACAGTCCTTTAAACAAACTTTCTTTATGACTTGTATGTTTAATTGCATTCTTTAGGTGAATATCCAGCGCTTATAACTATAAGGTAGGCTTGTTGACAGAACTGAAGACAGATAAGTTTTCATTTTGTTGATGTGCTCTGCTGCCTACTGTCGATCCAGGATTTTGCGTGCGGTGGCTTCAGACTTACCTCAGACCATGCCTAATGCTGGCTGTTTCTACGGTCGTCAGCGCCTTCTGAACTTTGTTCGGATTTGCTGCAATGACCGCAGAGCCTTCAGCGTGATCCAGATTTGTGACAGGCGCTTTGATGAATGATGAATGGAGCGTCACTTCACTATCAGAGTGCATAACTGCCTCTGACATTACGACTCGATGCAGTAATTGAACAGCACTACCTCCGTGTCAGTATTGCCCAAATACATCATCGTAGATTCATTTCAGTCTATGGTGTGGCTTTCTGACTTGTGTTTCACCAATTGGTTTTGGTATTTCTTTGCTGTCTTGTTTCCTGCTCGCGTCAGTAGATATACCTTATATGGGAAGTCTCTGAAGATCGAGTATTTGTTCCGCTCCTTGGTTATCAAGCTGAAGATGGCATAAAACACTAATTATTTTTATGTAACGCAAATAATTTCGCTAATCCGAGAGAATGTCCTCTGACTACGAACGTCCAAACTGCCTCGAACGACAAAAAAGCTTTTGAAACCAACAAATCTCTCTACCCTGAAGAAGACCGTGAGACATGGGCCGAAATGTCGATACTGGTCATTCGGACAATTTGCGTTGTATAGAAATAAGCCGTTTTATACTGATTTCACGTATGTGAAGTCATCTGTATCTCGCTTGTCCAGCACTTGTTTTTAGGATCTTCCGGAATGGAATTTCGACACTTGGAGATCTGAAGATGACGCAGATGCAGTTGATAGCCAGGGTACGGAGGAAACTTCAGAATCTGATATGGAAATCACATCTCCGATGGTAAGCTTTTTATTTCAATGAAACATTTTGATAAACGCAACTTTCTTTTTGCTCGCTTATACCGTTCAGCCGAATGACTAATTATGATTGTCAACGCAGTTGGACTCTTCTTTTGAGTATAGTGGTATAGCGCTCATTTCAATACCCCTTCCTCATCCACATCTTGTTTAGATCATGTGAAAATATAATCAAGCATAAAAACTACGCCGTCACTGGTCGTAGGCCCGAATGAGAAAATAGAAGGGTTGGTGCCGTGACGAAGTTTCCCATAAAATTCAACCGCCTGACCTTCGTGGTATTGCCTTTATCAAACAATTTACCGTTCTATCGTCCCCATGGCACCAGGGGTCTCGCAGGAACAGAGTCAGACTGCATAAGGTCAGTGAGCAGAACCTGCAGCTGAGGGCGTAGCACCACGTTGGCGGCTGATGATGATCGACAAGAAGGAGATGAAGTCATCGGTAGATCTGCTAGCCGTTCTGAGCAGAGAAGGCAGACTGCGCAATACCATTATAGCACGTCAAATAGGGTTACACGGGAATGTTAACGACAGTGAGGGCCCAGTCGGAAATTAGAACGTATTTTCATTCAGAAGGAAAGGTCAGAATCTGGTTGATGAGACCGCAAGGTATCGACTCGACATAGTTGGAATTTCCTCAACGCGCGCCCGGTCTATGGAATTCTGATCCTCTGCTGGTGGACGCTATTCTACTGCGGTGTCGATTCCACGAAACACGTTCAATCCGGTGTTGGTGTTTTGGTAGAACCCAGTCTGGCTGACTAAATCACTAAATGAAAGCCTGTGGGCGGAAAAGTGGCATTCTCCGACTGAAGTTACAGCAGTCTAAAGCTTTGACTCTATGACAAGTCCATGTGACCAATTCGGAGCGAGAATGTGAGTCCTTCCTGGAAGAAGTAGCAGGTGCTCGGTGCGAAGTGTCGATTGCGGAATCCATCATTCTAATGGACGATTTCATTGCGCATGTCAGAGCAGACCTGAAAAGTGAAAAGGCATGATTAGAAAGAACGGTCATGGCGACTTCAACAATAACGGCATGAAGTTATTGTGGTTTTTTGCAAACAACAGACTGTCTGTGTTCATAACGGCCTCAACGCGTTCATCGTATGCCTGCTATAGGAATACTTGTCTACAGAAGTCAATGATCAGTATAATAGAGGTTCGCTTTAAGAAAGGCGCAGCGCTGTTAACCGTTGCTCACCTATTTGTTGGCATGCTGTGAGAAATTGAGACCATGCGACGATCTGGTAGCAGAAGCAACAAGAGAATCAAATGGTAAAGATTATCTTCGGCGGATACGGTAACGAAACTTGCACACAGTAACGCACGACTGTGTGAACAGATCCTGCTGATGACCGCCGATATGGAGACTGAGTAGAAGTTCTTATGGAAGTGGAAGCTAAGTGCTGTTTTCCTCAGGGCTACCGTCGAATGCTGCGGTTCAAAACGGGTTTGCTTCATTCCTGGAGGTGAGAAATGAACTCTCAGATGGACTCTAGAGGCTGAAATGACTGTCTGCGAGAAGAAGGCGGCATTCAAGAGGTGCCTTGAAAGCATGGAGCCTTGAACTCGAATTCAGTCCGAAGAAGCTCACAGGGCAGCTTTGAAATCAATTAATGCTAACGCTGATTCCCTTTATAAGTTCTTTGAAGTGCTGCCGTCGAATTTCCAGGCGGCAACAGGGTATTCTAGGCAGAGCACATGCCGCCTCCATTATGCAATGAAGGACTATCTAAGAGTCCTGAAGCACAAGAAGGGATGGCGTCTTACCTTGGCTGAGGGCATGCAGCGGCGTTGGCGATGGTACTTTGATATACTCGTTAACGCCGGACAACGCAGTAAAACTTGCCTTAAGAGCGGTAGGCAATGGATGTAAGTCTGTCAGTACATGAAGTCGCAAAATTTGTTGAAACTTTGAAACTGACAAGCCTGCTGGAATTGGTGAAATCCGCTGTTAAATGCTTCAAGTTTAAGGTGAACAAGGTATGTTGCTATAGTGTTTACCACATTGCAGTGGCTACGGCGAAGACTGTGGACTAGAGAACGGGGCTGTCATATCCCTTTTCAAGAAGCGAGACCATCGGAAGTGCTTTAATTATTGGGGATTACTTTATTCAGCCTCCACCTAGAAGGTCTACGCAAACGTTTTAGAAAGGAGGTGCCGCCGAATTACTGACTGTATGATATAGGAAGAGCAATTTAGCATTAGGACAGTCCGAAGCTCCTCTAACCAGACCTTCGCCTTGCGTCAGATTGTTGAGAAATCATGGGAGTTAATTATCCGGTTTACGTGGGCTCTGTTAACTTGGAGGAAATGTATGACCCTCTCCGGCGCAAAAGCTAAGAACGTGCCTGAAAATTTGGGTCGATGATCAGTTGCTACGAGCCATCCAGTCGCTATATGTTGTTGCCAGATGCTGCATTAGAGTAAATATTATTTAGTCGAGATATTTCAACGTTGACACTATTCGCCGCCCAGACTTCGCTTTGCTTCCTCCCCTGTTTATTATGTACATGGATTGAATAGTCAAGCGCTGTCAGGACGACGGGTGTATCAGCATAAGTGATATAGAGGCGAGAAGGTTGCTGGCTGCAGACGCTTTTGTTTTGTTGACATCAAACTGATCTCCGTTGCTCTCTTTAAATGTTTGCAGCCAAGTGCAGTATAACTGGCATGTGTTTGTAAGTTTCTCAAAAGGCGAGCCTAATGCATTGTCGTTCTCCTGTCCGTTGTCCTATCCAGATAAACGTAGAAGCAATGTGGCAGGTGGAGGAGCTCATGTACCTTGAGGTATT